CGATGATAAGCGGTCCTCTAATTAAAAGCTCCAACGTGTCATCTACTTTCTTAAACCGATGACGCATGCATAGGAGCTAACTCAAGTGTGTCCTCCTTTGATGAGGCATGCATGTTGGCAGAAGGTAAACGCCCACTATTTACTAGGACCGCAATTCAAAATTGTCCATAAACAGTCAGGTTCTCCTGTTAGAATTTTCTTCTTCCAACTCCTAAGCGAGTCTTTATTCTGGTTGCGACAGTCAGAGTGTATTCACTACCTTGGCTGCCGTAATTGGGTGGTAAAAGCTGTGGCTTGCCTATCCGGACTAGTAAACTGACCGATGATGGTCACCAAAAGTTTCAGCTTTCTAAAAAACAGAATTTTAAGGCAGTCCGCTCCCACGATCACCGCCACTTTACCATGCAGCCTTTCTGTTTGTCTCACGTTCCCTGTCAATTCGCTGCTGGGATTGAGCGAGAACTCGAAGCTGATTGGCGCTGCCTAATTCGCTGGTTGGCTGCAGGCAAAACAGCACATACGTGCTGAGGGGGCAAGAATAGGAGTCCCAACGGCGTACACAGACATCCACATGCCTGATGAGGACGTCAGCCATAACTGCTTGCGCTGCTGCATTTACACACTAGGACTCAGTACACAAACCATTACCACACGAATTCAAGAAAAAAGTTATTTGCAAAAACACTGCTACTTACCGTTTATGAATATTATGTTCAAAGTGGCGCTTTTTAAGTGTGCCTGGGGAGGACTTCAGTCGCAACTGCTTGCAATGCTGCTTATACACTCTAGGCCTTAATAAAAGCTTGTCCACCTGAGTGCCTTTGGATTTGAGAATGTTCAAGCTGTCGACAGTCGTAATTTGACAACTAGTGACCCCTTCTGAAATCCAAAATCTGCGTTTCGTGAGAAGGTACCTGGCGACATCCAAAACATTTGACTTGCAGGGCAGGCGCAGTATTTTAGTCCGGCAAATGTTCTGCTAGAAGTACACGGCAATCCCCTTATAGAGTGGCTGCTTCGCTGGATAATACAACAGATACTTAACCGAGTTTGCGAATGATCCTCGTGTGACACTGGCTAACAAGCTGACTAAAAATCACGCTTACTAGGTTTTGAACACTCGCGATATGACTGCAGTGCCGTAGGCTGCTAACTGTCGTGACTACCTGGGCTGCAAAGTAATTGGAGTTGCTTTTGAAAGAAGACCTTATTTGGATTTAGGATGAGTAGGGTGTGTGTACATTTAGCCGCGCTGAGTAGAAAAGTGTCAACTTTGGAATAAATTAGCATGTCCGAGCGAATGTAATGTTTATTTGCGAGGAATGAAGCTGTTTATTTGTTTAAGAAACCCTATTCTATAGAACTGCCTTTACTCCCCACTCGTATATGCTGCACATTTCAAGTAGCAAAAATCTGTTTGTAATTGGACGTTCTCGAGTGCTAGGGACATGAAATGAAAGAGGTAAATCTTCTGCTAAATGGGGTCATGGCATCCTTTGATGTCACGTCCATTTTTACTTCTATCCCTGAGGATCTGGCACTGGAGACCGTCGAGCTACTCCTTCACGTTCGACGAAACAATCTATGAGCAGGTGAAGTGAACACAAATGGGTTCACCGTGTTCGGGATCCATAGCCGAGATGGTCCTACAACGAGTAGAGTCGCTGGTCCTCCAACACCACAGACCGAAATTCTGGGCGTGCTAGGTGAATGATATCTTCGTCGTCATCGAACGAGATTAGGTGCTCACGTTTAAAGGACGTCTCAACCGCGTCTTTCCGGACATTCATTTTATGCTGAATGAGGAATAAAACGGCCAACTGGCCTGCCTTGATGTCCTCATCTGGCGCAACTAGTGTGGTGTTCAGGAAAGCGACAAATATGATGCAATTATCGAACTTTAACGGCAACTATTCAATCGACCACAAAAGCAGTTGCGTAAGGACGCTTTATCGGCGTGTTGAGACGCACTAGAGTGAACCGGAGGACAGAGTTGCTGAACTACAATATCGTCGACGATAAAATGGCCACCCACGCAACTTCATCAACTGGCGCATGCACAAACGAGACGAGAGACAAAATCGCACCGATTCCAAATTTTGGCGAACAATTTTGTACGCCAAAAAAATATCGGAGGCCGTCAGCCGCCTTCTCGCACCACTTGGAGTTTGAGATGCACACAGACCGGAGGCAACCACAAGGCGTCGGATAATGAAATCAGAAGACCCATTGCCACGGCAAGAAACATATGGAGTCGTCTATAGGATCTGGTGCACTTGTGAACCAAGTGACTACGTCGGAGAAACTAGAAGGCTTCTGAAGACACAACTTGCCGAAAGAAAATACGCCAAATTCCAAGCCTTGGCTCATTTGACGAGACCCGGCCGCACAGTCAAATTTGTTGAGATCAAAATTCGTACAACAGATGACAGCCGTGTGAACCGCGAGTTGTTTGAATCATGGTTTATGGGCCCACAGTCTCTAAAAAGTGCTCAGCGACTTATCCTGCAACTTCCTGTGTACCAATTACGCGTTTCTGTTATTTTTCCTGATGATGGATCCGCGACGGAATCCGAAATGTCAGGCGAAATAAACTCTTGTCTCAGCGATCACATCTGCTCCCTCTCAATTAGTTCCTGAGACTTGCATTTCCGCTTGCATTAAGGTCTTTGTGTCCCCAGGATGTGAAGTGTCAAGTTTCATGTAAAGCATAAACATTCATTGGAGATTCTATGATGGATAATACGGGGGTTGTTTCATAAGGTCGAGAACGTGTCCGTGCAAGTGCATTGCATGCTTAGGTGCCAGCTACGGGTCCATGAACATTTGAAGTAGAGAGATTGGGGAAAGCATCGAGACGTACAGATCTACGTATGAACTCCCAAACTTTTATGTTAACCGACTAATGTAGCTGTGGTGAAATGCACGAAATGCACTTGTGAACGCTTGTCAAG